TAAAAAAAAAAAAAAAAGGGAGCATGTGCATCAAGTAGTTAAATATAAGGGGTCTGGTGCATTTTTAAAAACACAAGATATTAACGCACATAATTTTTTAAAACAAAGTAGGAACACACACATTTCGTACAATGGCGAAACCAGCAGGTCATCCCGGGGAGGGCCCAATTTGCCGCGGCGCACCACCCCCACTACGGCATCGGAAGGGCGCTCAAAGGGCTTTTGTGGACGTTCTCAAAAATTTTCGCAGGATATAAAAGAATACTCTAGAGATTTTTCTAAAAATCAAACTAAGTTCGGAATTAAACTGGTATACTTAAACTGAATTGTTTTAACTCGAAAAATACTTTGAATTTATACTAATAAAAATCTCGGACTCAATATAATAATAATCAAGAATTATACCTCCTTTCGAATAGACGAAAAGTTGAAAAAATTGAGAAAACGAAGCCTCGAACGATCGAACTCGTCCTCGACAAGTTTGCTCATTTTGATACTATTTAACGCAGAAATTCAAACTCCCATAATAAATGCTCGGAACTCCGAAAAATGCGAAATTTGTCCGTAAGAATCGTGCTTGAAATGTCTACACACTCCAACTCGATTCTCGTTAAACCGAGGTCACACGCAACATTACGGAACCCCGCAAAACGGCTTTTTATTATTCTATTATGCGCACTCGACTTCGAGCTTCTCAAAATAAATGCTCGAAACTTCGAAACGTGAAATAAATTTACGAATGGCTTCTACTGTTCTCGTGCTTTTAAGAAAGCACTCCCGCTAATTTTCAGCACGCCTAACGAGGGCCGACGGTTACCCGAAGTCTACGCATGAAAATGACAATAAAATCACTGCCACTATCATTTTTCTCTCAACTTCGGGCTACCCAAAATAAATGGTCTGGACCTCAAAATCATAAATCGATGCCACCAACGCACTATCCGCTTCCCGTACTTTCATAAAAGTATTTTTCGGTAATGATCGACTCGGTTTTTGAGTCCCGCCGGTACACCGCAAGTCGGCTAATTAACCAACTCAAAATATAATAAAAATGAAAAAATTATTAAATTCTGTTATAGTTCTCTTTGTCCCGAAACCAGGATCCCGTTTCGGGGAGAGTCTAATTTTCCTTTAAAATAAATTTTCACGACAAAACTGTTGGCGCCCCTCCGGCCATGTATGTACCGCATGAAATCGGAGAGGGCCCAACATGCGCACTCAAAAGAAAATCTTCCAGTTCCAACAAAATCTTCCACCTAGTTTAATTTTTTTTTTTTTTTTTGGAGGGGCCAGGGCCCCACAATTTATCCCTTTGTTGCTATCGTGTTTTCCAAATTAATCATGAAAGAAAATGCAATAGGATTATAAATATAATTTATGGAAATAGTCACAACGTGTATCCCATACGGAATTGACTGTGTATGGAAACTTGGTGGTCTGCAAGGAATTGCGTGTCTTTTTTAAATTGGGCGTGTCCGTCCAATTATGTTGAATTAATAACAAATAATGTTTACTCAAGAGCGCTTGGATGAGATAGTTTGAGTCTTTTTCAGCTTAACCAGTGGTCTCGTGTTCGAGTCCTGAGAATACAGCAGTGTTAAAAACTCTTGAGGGAGAGCTTTGCCGCCCTTGTGGTCCTACCCGGCTCGATTCCGGATTAGTCGGTTCCCCTGTGGATCTGAAAACCGGAAGATCCCTGTATCAAAAAATAATAAATAATGCTTGGCATTTCTAGGCCATTCAATAGCCCTATGTGGTAGACGCTAGCTAGGCGAAATTTTATGTCCTATTTGTTCAACAACACACATGTATTGCCACCATATGTTACGTTGACCATTATATTTGATTATGACATGTCTATTAAACTTTCATATTTAAAATTTAATTTTCATTAGATTGTTCGATAGATTGTCCCTCTAGAGTTATTGGTGTTCTTAGGTTTTATTTCTAAATTTGATAGATTTGCATTTAACTTTATGCAAAATAGATCGCTCAGTCTCAAAAGCATTAATATCAAATAATCGAGAATTAGAAATTGATTAGCGAAAACATACTTGAAGAATTCATCTCGATTGAGCCTTCAGGTGGATTTGGAATTTTTTTAATTTTGGAGATCTTCTAAAATATCGTGACAGGAATCTCTTCTCCTCTGACGTACTAGAAATTGAATGAGAGGCGGCGGTTTCTTTCGTATCCTTAATAAAGAATCCCAAGGGCACCTTTATATTTTGATTGCTTTTGGAGACTCCACCCATTAATTATTTTGACCCAAATTATTTGCTAATTAGGTACTCAAGTTTAATATTATTATTTGTTACGTTACCAAATAATAATAATATCGGGTGTCAACATTTAGTCATTCCACAGTCTAAATTGAGTTCCTCATCCGATGTACAATAATCTGATTACTTAATTCGGATAAACAATGTAATGACTCAATGTATCAATTAAACATATTTAATCCCTAAATATATCTAACAATATTGGTTTCCAAAACAAACCTGAGATTATTATGAATAACAAACCAGAAGTGTTCATGAATAGTATCCTTCCATATAATCACCAATTGTTCTTCAATGAAAGCTAAAAAAAACAGTAGGCCACATTGCTCTAGATATATGTTGCAATCATTTTGCTTGTTATATATATAGCTTTAGAACAGTAAAAATTACATGAATTTGAATGAAAAAAAATGAATATGATCTCACATGTATGTTGCACGCAGACAATCAACGATGTTCTTTTCGGGGTTATATCACGAGGGCTTTCGAGGTATTTGGACATTAACTCACCCAAAGGTAACGTAATTTCTTGTCACCAACTATTCAAAGCAGGCATCCAAGATACATAATAGTAAATGAAAATGCTACGGTCCTGTTACGGAACTATTCTGTCGGGGTTTGTAACCGTTAGATCATTATATAACCGTCGATGATAATTGATCTAACGGTTACAAATTCTGACGGAATGGTTCCGTAACGAGACAGTAGCATCTCTCAATAGTAAATACTACTTTATTGATAGTAACTTTTGTTTGATTGTTTCATGTAGCTCTGCCTGAGGGCCTCCGGATCACAGGTGTTGCCATGGTCAACCTGAGATCGCAAGCAGGACTGCAGGTCTAAGTGATCTAAGACAAAGAGATTTTTTGTTTTTATTTTATGTTTCTTTGCTGAATTGCATCAATACATTTCAGGACTTGTCGAAGCTTATGGATAGTAAATCTGGAATTCGGTGGGGCAACAAATTCGGCATGCTTCTCTTACCCATTTATTATCACAGAGGCGGTTCTGATCCGATCCAGTTTGTGAGGAGAGCCAAGGCCATGATCGACAAGAAAAAGCTCTCACTAGAAGCCCCCTTCTCGTACAGAGTTGGGGACCTCGTCATGTCTCTTTTTGGTGCAAAGGTACGTAAAATACTCTCACTTAATTGAGAATGTCGAATTGTAAGTAAGAGTCACCTACCCTTTTCCTTAACGTGTACGAGTTATCGTAAATGTCTGGTAATGGAATAAAAAGAACCGACTTCACAACTTTGATCGGTAGTTGGTTGTTTTCGTGGCGTGCAGATAGCTTGCATTCTCAATTACCGGATCGTTTGCAATACAACCTTCACGATATCGAATGTTATAGGGCCCCAAGAGAAAATCACGATGGTTGGCAACCCTGTGAAGCACATAAGGGTTACTTCAAGCAGTCTACCCCACGTATAAAAATTATTGAACTGTGACTTTATGTTTTACTCTTGCCAAGCTATTAGAATGGCTTTAAGTTATTTTATTTTATTGAATAAAAAATTTATGGGAAATGCAGGCAATCACAATGCATATGGTGAGTTATGCAGGAATAGCTGATTTGCAAATTCTAGTTGCCAAAGACATAATCCCAGATCCAAAAGTTTTGGCCAAGTGTTTCGAGGACGCCTTGCTCGAAATGAAGGCATCTGCAGAGGCCATCAGCAAATCCTGAGGTGGCTAGAATTTTGAAAGATGATTATGCTAGATATCAAGATGATTAAATTCACGTAGCCAGCTAGTGGCTAGTCTGGGCTTCAGGCCAGGGTCAATTTTTTCTCTATGTTAGTAGTATATTATGCTTAAGAATGAAAAATATTTTTTGTTAAATTAATTTAGCCTAACTGAAATTTATTTTAACTTGTATGTGTGTGTATTTTAATTTAAGCTCATGAATATATATATGTATATATATATATATATATATATATATATATATATATATATATATATATATATTTGGTCATGACTAATTATTTAAAAAAAACACTCTTAACAAAAAATTAAATGTAATATCATGTTAGTATTTTATGCTTAAGAATAAAAAATATATATTTTTTTTTTATAAATTAGTTCAGCCCATATGAAATTTATTTTAACTTGTATGTGTATGTATATCGTAATTTAAGCTCATGAATATATATTTGGTCATGATTAATTATTTGAGAAAACACTCTAACAAAAAACTAATGTAATATCATGTTAGTATATTTTACTTGAGAATAAAAAATATTTTTTGTTAAATTAATTCATCCCATATGAAATTAATTTTAACTTGTATGTGTGTATATTTTAATTTAAGCTCATATATATATATATATATATATATATATATATATATATATATATTGTTATACTTAACAACGATATTATACTGGATTTATTATATAATTAACATGCGATATAATATATAAAGAACGGAAGTGACGTCGGTTGCATGTACGGACGACGTCGGAATTTATTGAGTATTCATAATATTCGTTCAATATTGTATTACAATATTCGTGAGAGTCAAAAGTCCCCTTTTTGAGGGTCCAACCCGCTATTTATAGAACGGTGGCCCACCGTACGAGGTAGGTGTGATCGCATTTAATGCGGAAGTGAAGTCAAAGGCGGTCGTCTGCCACCTAGATTGGTTGTTCGCCACCTGGACAACAGTCATGATGAAGGGCTGAGCTGTCACCGCCTTCAGATGTCGGTAGTTATCTCTTTGTGGACGTCGGTTGGTCAGGTTTTGACCAGCGAGAGACCTCGGTTAGAGGAACAAAGGTGGCTACTTCATTGTGTATTTGCCAAGGAACGACATCGGTTTTTATTACGTTGTTTCCGACGTGGTAATACTTTGTCGTGGCAATAAGATTGCAAGGCCTCAAGCTAATGTTATCCTTGTTAACAACCCTCGCTAATTTGTTTTACCGGAAACAATGTCAACAAGGTGGCCCCCAGCATTAATTGGCGTTTGAAAGGGAACGGGTGTTGATGCTGTAAAATTGTAACAAAACTTTGCCTAGTTCGATTTGGGCACGTCATGTGGGCTGCCCCCCAGCACCTTTCTTCCCCTGGTCATCCTGCTTCTTAACTGAGACATGGGCGGGTGGCTTTCTTGGCTCCAGGAATCCGAGAGGAGAGGGACGAAGCTAGAAAGCAACCAACCATAGGTGTACCGGTTGTTATGCCAATAGCAGCGCCGGGCAGCTAAGTTGGTACGGAAGAACTGCTGCGCAGCAGGAAATCCTTCTCTATATGATAATCTATATCTCATTGAATATTTTATTGATTTTCTTATCTTTCATATTCGAAACTGAAATCTTGCAAGGAAGGAAGGGGGAAAAGATCTAGAAAGTGAGGTTTTTCACTACCATAATCCGACGTCGTCAACACTTTGGCAAGAAAATGTCTCGAAGCTAAAGCGGCGCGACTTTCTTTTATTCATTGCAACGGTTGCTGACAGGGTAATGGCTGGATTATTATAGCCCACGTAGCCATTAATGATAGGTGCACGTCCCAAAGGATGCATTGAATTGCGAAATGAGTGAGTAATGTTCACGCGCCCCTCTTTCTCCTTTCTAACGGTAATTTTTAGGGCAAAAAATATAAATAGCTTCGAACTGTTCAAGGATAATCCATCCTTCGATTTCTATGTAATCTTGTTTCTGATCATCAGTGCTTTCAATCTATCGATTTATTATCCACTCAATTCATTGTATCGACTCGTTCAGGCTCTTAATTTCTCAGTGCGGTAAGAATCTTTTTTTTTTGTGTGTTTGTTCCTATCCGTTGATCTTCTTTTTAAATTTCTCTGAATTGTCGTGAGTCATGAGTCTATCGTGGACGTCGTCGAGCGACAATGAACAAGATGTGTTGATGATTAATATGGTGCACTCCGGGGAGATGGAGTTATTGGCCGAATATCATTGGTGGAATCTGGCGTTTGTTGAACACTTGAACATCCGATTGGATGATACAAAAGGGGATAAAAAGGTAGAAGAAAATGCCGTAGACTAATCAGAATACTAGAGACGGCCTTCAGGAGATGGCCGGACCCCGAGATAGACGTCCATGGTGAGGCGAGTATACTGACCGTTGCTGACGTTGTGATGTTACGGAAGGATATTAGAGTTCCTCCATCTGTGAGGTTATTTGCGCCATATTCCGGGGAAAGGATTAAATGCCCTCCACCAGGGTGTGTAGGTGTGTTCGTTGAAAGCTTGAGATCGGGTCTGCGATTTCCTCTCCCTCACTTGATTACTGAATACTTGCAGAATTGGGAATTAAGCTTATGTCAGATTGCCCCAAACACTTGGAAACGTGTTATGGGTTTGTTGGTGCTCTTTGCCGAAAAAAGGTGGGACTTGCCCTCGGCAAATGACATGAGAAGCATGTTCACATTTCTAAAGAACCCAGATAGACAAGTTTTGGACCTGCTCGTTACTTTTTCCATTTCTGGGAAACCTTAAGCGAGAGTTAAAGTCGGCGAGTTAATAACGGAGGTTCCCGAAACCCTCCATGGCTTTCAAGAGGAATGGTTATGGATTGGTGGAGATTGGGAGTGTGCTGACTTTTCTTCCGACCTCTTAGCCAATGGGATGACTGTCCCGACGGCTATTAAATCTGTTTATCGTAAGTTATGTTTACTTTCTTCTTGTATCTGAAGTTATTAATTGTCGTTTTTTTGTCTGCGCTAAGCCGCTAACAGGTGGCCTTTTGTGACCTTTGTAGCCAAACCACAAGGGAATAAGGAACCGCGATTTTAAGGCAAGCTTTACAATCGTGTTGATAAGTTTTTTGAGCTCACGAAGAATAAACGAAGATACCAACGGCTAGTGAAAGATTCTCGGTTAGAACTTGTCGGTTTATCACCCGGAGTCATTGATTCTTCCTTTCAACCAGGTATAGATATCTTGTTTTCTTGTTGTATCTCGCCATGATTGCTATTATAGTAACTCGAAATTTTCTGTCGTGCAGTGTATTATTCGCTGCTTGGCTATTTTGGCTTTCGTGACCTGTAAAGGCGGAAGAATTTCGGAGGCATAATCCCAATTTCGATCTGAAAAATAAAGTTGGCAAGGGCAAAAACTTGAGATCAACTGAGATTGCAGGACGCGTGAATTTACTCAAGGCATGGAAGAAGAATCCAACTAGTTCTCGGAGTTCTACCGGTGAGCCATCAACGGCTGGAAATGAGCCGACTCCGGCCATTGTAAGCAATCCAGTTGTGGAAAGTCAACCGATAATTGTTGCGGATATTTTCGAAGAATCGGTGCAATATGCGACACTGGACATGATACCGGTGAATGAGCCGATTACTAAGATTGAGGTCTCACAAGATGTACTCGAGGAACCTGCTACAAGACTGGTAGGTCGTCGTAAGAGACGAGGTGCGTCTCAAGAGGGCGAACATGCAAAAAAGAAACAAGATGTCGGCTCGGGCAAAGACAATGAAGAAGAGCCAGAGATAATCTTAAGGCCTTCATTTCGTAAACTAAATAAAAAGAAAGCTGTTGATTTAAAGTTGTCGGAAGACGTATTTGAGCCGTGGTTTTCTATGTTCCAAACGGTCAATGTGCCAAAACTACCTAACCATCATCGGTTCCCTGAGGAGGCAGTGTAGGCTGCGAAGGTTCCCCTGATGTCGTGGGACCCAAAAACTCACGCCGGGGTCTCGTCCTTGCCCGGTGATCAAAAGTTTAGCTACGCCAAGGCTTGTTTGGGGGGGGCACTTGTTAGCTTTATAGTAGCTGAGGAGAGTTATCTGAGCAAGGTTTCAGAGCTCAAAGAGAAGGAGAATGAGCTTAGATTGAAAGATGGAACTGTGGCTTCGTTGGAAGAGGGAAGTCTCGATTTGCAACTTCGGTTTCGGAGAAAGATGCCCAACTGGAGGCAGTGAAAGTCGAGGTTAGCGCACTGAAAACTGAGAGGGAAAAATTTATTTTGGCCCATGACATTACAACGGTCCAGCTGTCCAAGGTTGAGGACAAAGTGAAGGAACAGGAGAAACATCTCCAAAATTGAGGTTAGAACTTCAGGCAACTCGAAAAGATCGTTCTGAGAAGGACGCCGAATTGATCCGCAACCAAGAAGCTCATCAAACCGAGGTGGCTAAACTTCGTGAGAAGATGATTGTCGTGGCTGAAGCCAAGTTCCAAGAGGGCCTTAAAGCCGGCAAAAAGTCTGAGAGGAAATCCAAAGATAAACCGGACGATGAGTTCGTGATTACGGAGAAAGATTTAGAGCTCAGCGCTGCCTTAACTTTGCGTTGGGTGATCGAACGAGTCTATGCCGGGATTTACACTCTTGACGAGCTGCGGATCTTTTTAGTAGAGGAATTGGAGAAATATGGCCTTGACTCCAGAATCAAAAGTGCACACATCCCGGCTGACGAGGACGACCGAGAGTTCGTCGATAGGCTGCTCAAGAAGTCGAAGTTGGCTAATATTTGCGTCGATGTCGTTGTTGAGGCTTTTGTTAATCAGGAGCTCGAAAATTTATCCTCAGATGACCTCATTGGTGCGATTATTAACTTTGCCTTACTGAAGGTGGCCGAAGACGATGCCAAGGCAAAAGGATGGGTGGTTGGATATGTTCCGCCTGGCGAAGACGAGGTGCTTCATGAAGATGAAGACGTGGTCTTAATAACTAAGGGCAACGTTCTTTCAACAGTTGAGAGAAAAGAGAATGAGGTTTTCCAACGTTTGGGAGAAAGCCTGTTAAAGCACTTGGAGGATGAGGACAGAGCCGAAGCTGAGACTGAAAGGCCTTCAACGTCGGCTGTAGCAGAGGCTTCATCTTCGGAAATAGACAAGGAGATCTCGGAGAAGACTCTTTGATTGTTTTATGTCTTTCGATTTTCGAACTATGAATATGTCGGTAGAAAATCTTTATTTGTAATGACTTTTTCGTGTTTTGGATGAAAATATCTTTTTGGAACTCAACTTTATTGCTTCCCATCAGTTTATTATTTTTAGTATGTTGTTCATCCAATGGGATAAGAAGAAATTGAATGTGTTAAATGATAGAGTTAAAAGGCTTCAGAATATAAGACGATGAATATCAGAGATCACCAAAAGACAATTCCGAGTTGCCATTTTTATTGTTTGACTCCATATTTATTTGGATTTAACTGTGATCAAGATGTCGGTCTATTTTGTTTTCGACATCTATGGACTTCAGTCCAGATGAGTCGTGATAGACTCAATTTTATTATAATATCTCCAAATCAACTTTGGGATTTAGAAGTGATAATCATTTATTGTCAGCTCATCAAATCAACATCGGGATTTGAAGTCAGAGAGCATAAGCCTCCCCAAACCATCTTCAGGGCTTGGAAGTATCCGACTTTATTGCATCAGCTAGTTCAAACCAACTTCAGCGTTTGAAAGAGTTTAGCTTGAGCAACGAGGACTTATTTTTCGAGAGTCCGGTGGTTGAACAATTTATTGAGATTCGACACATATTTTTTATTGATAACAAAAGCAGCTTTGCACAAGGGTCTTCAAAAGAACTTCTTTGTACATTACTTCTTCAAAACAACAAGTTTATAAGACTTGTCTTACTGGAAATATTTCTTGAGGAATGTTGCGTTCCAAGGGTATTGGAGAGGGGTACCATTCGAGTCTTCGAGTCGATAAGTGCCGTTAGAAATTACGCGATTTATTTTGAAGGGTCCTTCCCACTTCGGTTGCAACGGACCGAGGTTGGCCCCAGTGACTCTTTTCAAAACGAGGTCCCCTACGGCGAAGAGTCGTGGCTTAAAATTTACATTAATGTCTTTCTCACTTCGTCGTTTGTATGTGGCATTCTTGGCTTCAGCTCTCGTACGCAGCTCTTCGATCAAGTCAAGGTTGGCTTTTAAGTTATCTGAGTTTACTTCGTGAGAAATGCGTGACTCGATAATTCGGGGACTCAAGTTCAATGGGAACCATGGCTTCGGTCCCATAAACCAACGAGAATGGAGTTTCTCCGGTCGGATTCCGAGGTGTTGTACGATAAGCCCATAAGACGTAAGGGAGTTCTTCAGGCCAAGATCCTTTCGCAGACTCAAGTCGAGTTTTTAGTCCATTTTTAATAATTTTTTTCACGGCTTCGACTTGCCCGTTGGCTTGTGGATGATATATGGCGATGAGAAAAATGTTTAATACCGTGTTCTTCACAAAAGGTTTCAAATCTTTTTCCTTCAAACTGTCGGCCGTTATCGGTTATGATGGAGTTCGGTATCCCAAACATGTCTCGATGGATTTCCAGAGAAAGTCAATCATTTTCTGTTCAGTGATGGTCGCTAGGGGTTTAGCTTCTACCCATTTAGTGAAGTAATCAACAGCTAGTATTGCGAATCTAACGCCTCCTTTTGCCGTCGGTAGAGGGCCAATGAGATCAATCCCCCATTTTGCAAATGGCCATGGGCCGCAAACCGACTTCAGGAGTTCTGGGTGTTGATTAACATTGGGAGCGAATAATTGACACTTGTGATATTTTCGTATCCATTCAGTAGCATCTTCTTTGAGAGTTGGCCAATAATAACCTTGTCTAAGTATTTTGTAGGACAATGTTTATGCCCCGTGATGGGTGCCACAAGTCCCTTCGTGGACCTATTCCAAGACACGTCGTGCTTCGACTTCCGGCAAGCATTTAAGCAAAGGAGCAGAATATCCCCGTTTATACAAGGTTCCATTATCCATTGTGAAATGGGCCACACGAACACGAAGTGTGCGTGCTTCTCTGGATCATTAGGTAAGGCCCTAGTTTGCAGGTAAGCTATGATGGGGTCCATCCATGTCGGATTCTCGTTCGAGTGGATGACGTTGGTCACCAAGACGTCGGTGACAGCCGTTGATGGTTTGGTTTGCTGAGTAACTTGCACAAATGCAACATTATTCAAATCGGTAGAAGAGACTAATCGTGATAGGGTGTCAACTTGAACATTTAGCGACCGAGGTATGTGTTCCAGCAACACTTTAAACTTTGACAACTTTTTTTTGACGAGTTCCAAGTAAGGGACCAACCGAGGTTCCTTGACTTCATAAGCTCCATTAATTTGACTTACGAGCAGTTGAGAGTCGAAAAATATCCGAAGTGAGGAGAGGTTCAAAGATTCAGCAAATTGTAGTCCCAAGATCAGGGCCTCGTATTTGGCTTCGTTGTTAGTAACAGGAAATGTAAATGCTACCCAGTAACAGAACAGTTGCTTATCGGGACTGACCAAGACAATTTCTCCTCCTGCCCGAATGGCGTCGATGAACCATCGACATACAGAGTCCATGTCGGATCTTCAGTCGCAACTTCAATTGACGGGGTGAACTCAGCTATGAAATCAGAGAGCACCTGGGCTTTTATTGCAGTTCTCGGTCGATATTGTATATCAAGTTGTCCGAGTTCTATGGCCCATTTAATCATTCTACCCAATGTATCAAGTCGGTGGAGGATCTGTCGCAAGGGATATGATGTAAACACAATGATTGAATGTTCCAGGAAATATGGTCGGAGTTTGCGGGCCGTAACCAAAGCAAAAGCTAACTTTTCCATATGCGGGTATCGCAATTCGGCATCGTGTAAGGCCTTACTGACGTAATATACGGGGAATTGTTGGAGTCCGTCTTGTCGTATTAAGACTGCGCTAATTGGACGTCACTTACTCCCAAATACAAGTATAGAAGTTCATCAGGAGTGGGTTTCTGCAGAGTTGGAGGTCGTGAGAGGACTTCTTTGATGTTGTCAAAAGCATTCTGGCATTCGACAATCCACTCAAATTGTTTTCTCTTCTTGATGCATCAAAGAAAGATTTACAATGATCAGCTGACTTTGAAATAAATCGATTTAAGGCGGCTAGCCGGCCGGTCAATGCTTGGACCCCCTTGATCGAAGTGGGGGAGCCAAATCGAGTGTGGCTTGGATTTTCGCAAAGTTGGCCCCTATCCCTCTTTGGCTTACCATGTATCGCAGAAATTTTCCTGATTCGACTCCAAAGGTACATTTTTTCGGATTAAGTACCATAGAGTATTCGCAGAGGATATTGAAGACGTCGGTGAGATGGGCAATGTGGTCGGTTGCTTGTTCCGACTTCACCAACATGTCGTCTATGTTAGAGTAGGATACCCGGCGTTCCAATCAGATTGGACGTATTCTACTTGTAAATACAATCTATTGGAGTTATATTAAATAATAAGGCATTACTTTATTTTAAGAGTAAGCATTTATCATATATTTGCACTTAAGATAAAATCCCTAGATCACTTATAGCTATAAGATATGGTTGCACATAGAGATGGTGATCATGGAACATATCTTGAAAGTTGTGATCTTAAATACAGTTCCAAGTCGTTGGATATTTCGAGATGGGATATCGAATAAATCCGGAAAAGGCTTGCACATAGTATGTATGCTTATTGGATAAGAATGTTGCATTCCATCAACATTAGCGTGGGACGCAAATACATATATGTGGGTGCTTGTTAGAGAACAAGTTTACTGAACATGACCGTATGAAAATTCTTAATGAAAGTTTATCATGTCGAATAAGAATTTTCATGTTACAATAGTACATGATTAATCCTTAGACTTAAGGCACGATGGTAACTTTGTGCATGTTATATTTTACTTTGATTTATCCTTTTGATTGCTAGCACAATCGTATAAAGAGATATATTGGGTATTATATTAATATGTATGGAAGTTTGTCAGTGGCCAACAAAGGATTCGACACTTGTGAAGATAAGTGAATTTCCTTTGTGTTTCATAGTTAGTAATTCAAAGTCCTTGGCCAAGGCGGAATGAATAGAGATTTATAAACGAATTACTAAACTTGAAATGGAATCATAGTTATTAAATCAATTTGGGTTTCGACAAAATCATACCCAAAGATTTAATCGGGAAATTGGATGTCGAAAGGATTTTACATGTATGGACTTGTAATCGAAATAGGTTTACTCGCTATTCACTTAATACTAGATTCATGTTACTTGCTAGATGTTCTCATGATATGTGGGTTCTTGAATTAAAGAGTTAATTCAAGAATAAGAGTTAATATGAATAACTCAAATTACAAAGAGTTGTAAACCCACTACTAGTATTAATTGTGAACCTAAAAGGTCACACCATTTTTTGAATAAAGGTAAAATTCAAATAGTATTTCTAAAGAGTTAGAATTAATTGACAAATCTAATTTGATTAGATATCAATTAAAGGAATATATTAAATTAATCAATTAGATGGATTAATTGAATTTTGGATATTAATTTAGTAATTAATATAATTACTAATTAATAGTTGGAATTTAAAATTGGATTTTAAATTTCAAATCCAAATAATAATAAGATTATTAAATAAGGAAATGGAAGAATAGATTAAAATAATAAAGTCTTGAAAAATATTTTCAAGAATTATTATTTTTAATATGATTGAAGATTAAATAATAATAAGAATAAATTAATTATGGTGGTTAGGAGTTGTTAACTAATCCACATAATTAATCTTATTTTTATTAATACAATAATAATGATTGATGGTGGTTATAAACCAATCATATTATTAATTAAAAGTCAATATTTGGTATGATTATTTAAATAAAATCTGATTTTATTTAAAATAAAATATATCAAATATTGATTATTTTATGCTAAAATGTTTAGTATAAATAGGTGCAAAATGTTTGCACATAAATTGCTAAGTTTTGAGCAAAATTCTTCCAAGAGAAAATTCATTCAAAGAGTTGAGTGATAATACAAGAAAGTGTTCTTGAAAAATTTCCTTATAAATATATCTTCTATACTTCTTGAAAAACCGAGTAGTTTTTACTAGCGAAGAAACTATAGTCGGAACCAAAGTTCAAAAAGGT